CACACAATCCTTTGCGCTTCATTGGCCATCGCGGACCACTCCTTCGAGAGCCTCCCAAGGCTCAGTACCAGGAAACTGAAGAAAGGCTCTCTAGTCGGTAGGTAGGTGATGATATAAGCATTTACTCATTGAAATCTTGAGGATCAAATGACTTGTTCCTCTATGAGCAGACATGGTACTTTCCTGATGCCTGCAATATTTCGATATTCGACACACTATTACACAACTTTACAGATGAAACCATTTATTGAAACAAAACAACCGCAAATATTATAATCGGGGGGCCCGCTCAGCGATTCTAACAGCAATAAACTTTATGCGGGGATGAATAATCCAAAAAAAAAAACACTCTCATGGTCAGTGAGCCAAATTTCACTCGTGAACTTTGCACACAGTCAAAATTAGCAGCTGATATGATTTTTGTGTTATAAAACAAAAAAATAATAGTACCAAACTTTAACGAAGAAAGGCAAATGAGCATATGTTCATCTAAAACGTACACGATCGACATTCAAGAAAACAGTATACAATGACATAGAATAGTATCTCTATTGACAAGAATAGCTCATGCACCATATCGAAAAAACACAGAAGATCAAAAAAATGAAATGAATAGAAATGAAGTAAGAAAAAAATTGTGGCGGGAAAAACAATGAAATAAAGGGGGGGGAAGGACACAGACTATGAAGTACCGAGTGAATCGCGAACCGTATTCATGGATATGGCTGTGAACGCCTGTATGCACTTGCTGGCAAATTTTCACATGGGAATCATCAACCACTAAAGGGGCCTTAACTAATTTGGGCCACTTAAAGAGACGAAACCGCCGCATTATGGCAATACAGGAGTCCACTGACTGAAAAATAATGTGACTGGATTCTATACTGAGACTTTGGAAGCGTTGATACATCCGTCGTTCCAAATTCACGGCTGCTGCAAAAAACACCATTAAAATTAAAACTACGCAAACGTAAAATATCACGCGCTCAGGTAATTACGCTTAGTTCGGGTATGTAGTCTTTCAGTTGCTTCTGTGGTTTAACGAGGTTGGATAGGTGGAACATTTATCAGTGGCCTAACGCTTCGACTCAAACGTCGTCTTCAGAGAGCCAAATTGTTTACACCGGTTGGGCTGATAGCAAGGGTCCGCAGCACACCAAGAGCGCGTTGTAAAAGTAGAGAAATCATAGTTTTCTGCTTACTATAGGATTTCTTCTTAATAACAGCGCTCAGTGTGGCTGCGGAACATATCCGCCTAACGGTTGAAACAACTGTCTCTCGAAGACAACGGATGAGTCCGAAACGTTAGGCGATGAATAAAATGCTTACCACCTATCACGATCGTGAGGCATTAGAACAAACTGAAAGACTTACAACTAAGAGCCGAAGGTTGCAAGAATAATGGAGAGATAGCTGGAGGATACGTACTATGTAGTCATTCTTAGAATGTAATACACGTAAAAAAGGCGAAGTGTGAAGTGCCAGAAACCCTGACTTACACAAAGGAGGTTTAGTGTCAGGTACCATCCAAAACTCCTTGAGGCAGTCACAGCACTATTCCTCAATGAGAAAAACAGATTGAGGTGCACTAATCAAAATGCAGGCATAGATTGCGCGTGCAATAGCGCAGATGTGCTCAAGACACCACCTCAACTTCTTACTCAGCCTCCTGGACTTACCATGCCGGACCTTCCATTCCCCATATTGTGCGCTTCATCGACCGAAAATGTTCAATAAATTCCACCCGCCAATCTGTTGGAGCAGGGAGGGTGAGGGCACTCTATCTTCCCCTTTTTCCCTGGGTGCTCAGGAATCTACACTCAGCAGCGACAGCCAGCTGTAATTGGTAATACTCAGAAGTGGCCAGGCTGCATAACGAAGTGACAATATCGCACCAAAGATTCAATGAGCCAGTTTTTTCTTCTCACTTTTGAAGTCAGACGTAGAAAAATTGGAGACAGGCATGCCAACTCGATTCCCTCTGCTTTGGGTATACCGAGCGCATTTGAAACGGTGGAGCGGAGATCTGTAAAAGGCTAGTGGGCAGACTGCTGTGGCTTCCAGCGGTGGAAGGGATGGGTTTGATGTGGCCAAAACACGCCTCTCGCCAGCCTTCCAGTGACGTTGCGCACAACCACCCACCAACGAAGAATTGGTGCCTCACTGCTTTAATATCAGCGGCAGAGCCTGTTAAATGTAAGCTCATCAATGCGAGGTGCTAAATAACTCAATAGCGAAAAGGGAAGAACGTTCAGAAAAGACCATATTAGAAAGACCCTTTTTGATTTCGAGCGCAGATGAACAGAAACTGTCCTTCGTGGCGACTCAGAGACAAAAAAGACAAAGGAGTGGCTGGAGTAGAGCGCATCTCTGACCGCGCCATGCATATTACACGTTTGACATAATGCTTGACTGTTGAACCGCAGTCCCCCTGCACCCTCAACGAAATGTACAATGAGTGATACTCCATCAGGTGAATTATGCACTCACGATAACGCTTGAGTACGCAGGAAAGTTGGAAGTTCTTCCGGTAATCGGCAGCTGATCGCAAAATTGCTCTGGCATGTTCCTATATTAAGTGCGTTTTAATAAAAACCGCAAAAGATGACGCAAAAATCAGGCCACAAAATCAGGCAGAGGCACTGTTTTTTTCCAAAAACGAGCCAGTTGCAATGCGCGCGACCAGAATGGTCGGACCTACACTGTCTCACATTGAAATATAACAATGAATATAACAGCGGTCATACCAGAAAATTATCTTCCCATTCTATAGCACACCTAAAACCAGCTTCACCCGAGAACTATCTAATAAGGAACCTTTTCTGTTAACTGAGAAAACAGAGAAATTCAATAATTCGCCGCCTTGAAAATGTTAGACACGAAATAGTATGACGTGATCTACAATTCAATCGATTGGTTTGAGAAACGTAAGACTTACAAAGTTCTTCATCAATTCCTCACTCGTTCTCCATCAATCGCCTCTGCGTATTCTTAGCGAGGCAGAAACGTTACCCCCTAATCGACAGCTCTCTAACCCGTCTTCGTCAACGTACTCACGCTCAGAGCCCTGAAACACTTTTATTCCATCTGGAACTCAACCAGTCCCTGCCCTAATAGGTGCCTCATCTCACAGTGTAACTGAGAACTAAAGTCAAAACTTGCTAATAAACAGTATTTTTTGCTACTCACTTCCACTCAGTGTTTCTTGAATGTGCTAGAACTTGCGCCAACTTCACAAGTGGCATCAATAAGCGCTACAATAAGCGGTGATTTCGTCAACATCCGATAATTGAATGAAGTACCAGTTTAACTGGGCATATCATGCTCGAACATACTGAAACTTACAGTAACTCGTCATTTAGGCGAGAAACAAATACGTTCACAGTACCAGTCATTACAAGAATGTTGAAAACCTCTCTGCCTCAAGTTATTTATAATTCAGGTAACGTTTTATCGATGCGTGGATTGTTGGATGACGAACTTCGTTTTTAGCGCTACCGTAACTAATCAAATGCGCAGCCATCGGACGTGATCGGATTTGCTCAATGACATTATACATGGGAAACCGCGCTCTTGAGTAATTTAAGAGGCCGCCAGTTTACAACCACATCCAGAGTGGGTCAGATGGGTATGCGACAGAGAACCGCAATTCGCCACGCCACGTGAGCACCGCGTGCGACGTCGCGCCCGCTAATGGGGACTATTTTTCGTGGTATCGATCGAGAATAGACAATGTATGACCACGAATAACGTAGGTGCCTACCACTTCCTTGTCTACATGAATCCGACGTTGGATCGAAAAGATTAGTGTGAATTGAGGAGGCGTGCGCCTACTGACGCGCGCGACGAAGCGGCAGTTTACGATTCCTCTTAGCCCTCTCCGCCGGCATCAGTATACGGCAACCCAGGACTGGCAGAGGCTGAGTTCTTTTTTCATGTGTAGTCATCTGGACACAGTTTTAGGCTCCACACCATTATCCTTCGAAGAAACAGCCCGAACACCATTCGAAAGGTACTTTTGGGCCCATTTGAAATTCTACAGTGAAATTCTGTACATAATTCCAACATCCAACCGCACAACCAGTAGAACTGGCGAAGTGTTCGGGAAAACGGATACGAAACCCCGCTCACTCGAATGTCTACTATTACTCTTTCAACTGCAACTAGGACCCACTGCTTCTAGATAAATGAACTTTTGAGTATAAGGGGCACTTTCACCTTCTCCAAGTAACCAAACCATATTCCGTTCTGCTAGAACTTACCCCCTCTCGCCTTTTCGTTCGATCGTCCGTTCCTAGCTTGCAGAAAACCTGTAACGGGCGCAGTTCGGCCGACAGCCGGGGTTGGGGGGGGGGTATTTTGTACTATCAGTGCTTCGCCCATTCCGGTTCACAAGTCTCATTCTGATGCGAAACCTGTAACTCTTGTGAAGCTAGCGCAAGGCCGTCAAGCCATCATGGTAAACCCTGTCAACTTCGAAAAGCAGACGATGTCTAGATAGGGATACGTTGAGGGGAAGTAGCCAAATTGCAAACATGCCCCGCCCGTCGCCGAAACGCTCCCCTGAACGTATCCCGGTGGACTAAGAACGTTATTTCTAGAAAAATATAGCTGATACATGACCTGAAGTCACCCTGCATTTTCATCACCAAAATGGACGATGGGCCAGTGACACATTGCTTAATGGACATAACTCTAAATAACGGTTTCACGGATCTATCGCAGTAATGTCAGTTGTTAACTCGTCACGCAACCGCAAGGTCAGAGATCATCCCAAATGCAATTCCTCTGAAGGTCAGCACACACGCTCAACTGAACATTTGTAAGCATAGAACAGGAAAATGTTCACACAAACCTGACATGCCACATCTTTGAACGACATTGAATCGATACCCTCCTCAGTTAGCTTTGGCTATAACCGGTTGATGAAATCGTTCCATTTCATACATTTGATATCAGTCCATCACCATCCTCAACCAAAAACCCGGAAGCCAATACTTCTAGGCGACTGGAAATAATGAGATTTCATGAAATTTATTCATAGAGTCAACCCGGTTAACACACCACACCCTCACCACACTAGTAAAACCAGACCTCGTCGGGTGAGTTTTATCCTCCTCAGCTAATAGGAAGTTGGTAAAATCGATTAAATTCATTGTATCTTTCCTAGTAGTTCGTACAGCACGAGAGAAAATACGATTAAGAACGAGATCAGTGATTGCTGAAATAAGAGCAGTCAACAATGTAGTAGTAAATAGCAGTACACACCAGGGCAGCCGTGGTTGTGATGGTCATAACAGAGAAGGGGGGGGGGTGTCGAGTTTGACCGGTCTATACAATTACTATTCCCGGTAATTGAAAATGATAGTTAAATCCTGACGACCTCCCGCTCGATACAAAACTTTCTGCTGGAAAAACTGGAAATTTTGTGGGAAAAAAGAGAAGTTGGGGAAATGTAGGAAATCGGTAGGTATCATGGGGAGGAGGGGGTCGTATTTGGGATGGAATTAGGGGGTCGTATTTTTCAGGAAATGATCACAACGCGATGGTGTGCCCTGGTACACACAATATTTTCTTTACGATGCTCCGAGATGAACTCGGACAAAGTCAGCTTCCCCTACAGTAACTTGCGACAGGGTGAGAGACGCAAAAAATCCCAGCCCTTTTTCTTTAAAGCCCAATCATGTCCGAGTCCACTTGGGAACTCCTGATTCGTACAAAAAGTAAACTCACCACCATCTTTGTGCATTCGCATGTCAGCTTTGCTGACTATTTGATCATGGTTCGTATCGATTTCCCAGAATTTGCAGTAGATAACATAAAAATGCTCATAACTGAAAAAAATAACAGTACAGCTGACTTTCACACACAGTAAAACTGAGAATTATTCACGATTGACCGCCTCGCTTTTCGAATATTATCAAAATTCGTCGCTGGAAGCAGAACTGGTAAGAAGTATCGGCGCAGTTCGGCTTGGCGTGGGGAGGGGCATACCGCTCTTTCGCTACTTCCCACCGTTATGTTCTTATTTCATGAAAATTGGCAGATTTTTCTTACAAGGTTGACAAGTGCTCTCTAGGACCTTTTACTGGTACCACGGCATAGCTTCACAAAACTTCAAAATCTCTGCTTCATGACTCACCATGATGATTGAAAGCAGCGAAAGTGCAAAATGCCCCCTCCCCCCTCTCCCCCAGGCCGAAGTGTGTCCAGTTTCACTCCCCCGAACCACTATGTCCTCTCCACTCCCTCACACGATTACTATATCCGCTCGATAAGGACACGCCAGACGGCCACGCCTCAAGAGAGAGGGAGAACAGCTTAAATCGCCATAATAGCAAAAACTGCTCTCCATTGGTACCCTGACATCCCGAGAAAATGCAGGACACATGTTTAGCGCAAAAGCGCCTGACACCTACGTCGGTGGCATCGGGATCCTAACCGATGCCACATTCGTGTTCAGGGGCTCACCCTTCGGACAATTCGAGAGGAATCGATCCCAAGTGTCAAAAAGAGGGGCAGGGAAGAGTGGAATACTGAAAATCCTGTATAGAACTAATTTAAATTACAGTAACATCTAAGCAGAAGGTCAAACTTCCGTTCCAAGGCGGAAAATTGGGAATATGGAATTAGTTAGCAGTCTCACACAAGGTGATTAAGCAGAGCCCAAAAACCTCTCATGGAAAATGGCCAAACAGGTCAGACAGGAGAAAAACAGTAATCGCGTAAGGCCCATGACGACAGCGCGCAATAGTGAAGCGATTGGCTTACTCAAGTGTAATACACGATGCTCAGGACTCACTGCTCAGCATTATTTCCCTGGATAGCGCTAAATCTACTGAGGACTGCTTACTGAACTAGTACTGAATGCGGTAAATTCAAACAAGCTTACCTGAAATATCGTACATCGCGGTTAATATCGAAATCTTCTTGAAGTGAGCGTATACGTTCGAGCAAATCCGACTTTCGTAAACAGTCGGATGTAATCTTTCCCTTCCAAACGCAACCAAGATTCCACATTATTCTAGCGATAACCTGAAATTAAGAATTTACAGAATAATCAACCGCAATTGATAACAAAAATATTCACAAATTATCGGGCTGGGTTGGGGACTTTTATCTTACGTTTCTTAAACCCTACGGTAATCCCCCAATTTCCATGTGCCATATCCAACCCCTGATGTCGCCACCTAAGTTGCTGAGAGTTCCTAGAGAAGGCCGACCAATTCAATAGAACGGTCAAAATATAATTGTGATAAATATTGCGCATGGAGGTGAAAAATCACAGTTATCAATTTAGCAAGTTAAAATACGCATATTCCTCAACTTCGCAGTTCACTGCCGATATCGAGCGGCAGGATTACCAGGTTATGGAGGTGAAATTGTTACTGTAAAGCTATGATATGAAGACCAGGTTGTGATACCCTACAAGGTGGCCACGATGGTGCAATGACTCGTACACTAGCTCGGTAATCAAGAGTTGCAGGCTCGGATCCTGTGTGGGTCAAGTTCTTTGCCCTTGACTCGCGGTGAGACTGGAACTTGCTGACGAATGCTGCCCCACTCGCAAGCATTGGAATATGCTTCGACCCATGAAAGTTCCTGCAGGCAATGTACTGCTCTGAAGTACAGGCTACGTTACCGGGTTCCCGGAAGCCCAAGTATCATATATACCCTATAGAGCCCCCCCCCCTGCAGGCTGGGAACATATTTGACCATTACATTTTCTTTATACAACTTAGTTTTACACTTACCACATCGCAGTACTTATCATGGAAATCAACGGCTTCACGGCAGAATTCCAGACCCCGGATGGAATGCATGATATCCATGACCATTCCATAAAGATCTTCACGGTTAGATAACTTCGACTGCCATAACTGAGTGTGTAAATGAACCTAAAATTAGAAAGATCTACCTTTTAGTTGATAGCTGTGCAGGCAGGAGTGAAGCTTCACCCTTCTGCGGATACAGTTTCTTAGATTAACCAGGTTCGGTAATCACATTTTGCATAGTGCTTTGAATATTTTCATTAATGATAAAGCTTCGGCTTATTTACAAGGAGATTACTTAGGATACCCAGTAGCTTGCCCAGTTTTTTGAAATATTCATGTGAAAAATACTGGACCCTAAATTATAAATTTGGGAGAGCTTGCCGGACAACAGTAATCGTCAAACGGTACAAACATGAGTGGGCGTAGCCACAATGAGTGCAGCAAACCCTACTCAGTTTTCACTCTAGGCACTCCTGGTTACAGTGGGATAGAAATTAAACGTCGCTACGCTTCTTGGCCTCCCTGCACCCGCCGTAAGCTTTTGGGAAGACGGAAAGAGAATCGTAAATTTGCCGCTCCTCGGCCGCGGCAATGGGCGCGACGTTTCCGTTAAATCCGCACTAAGCACTTTCGATAAATTTATGTCTATCTTGGTCATGACATTTCTCTATTCTTCTACAAATACCATCTGACATGTCGTCATTAGTGCGTGCGACTTCGTACGCGGCAAACTACGATTCTCATTGCACATACCCAACGACACATTTAATTTCACGAGCAGTTTGGGTACGTATCCCAGCAATTTTTTCTAAAGTTATAATCTTGAGCAGCGGACGTGTTTTGCGCAGTGGCGATAAAAGAAGAGCTTTGTTTATATCAATGCAGGGGCAAAGATCACGCTACAGGAAAAATCATTCTTACAAATAACTCATAAAAAATATAAAAAAAGAGGATAACTGGTTGATCAGAGGTACAGGGCCTTTCACTGCGTTATGAGGGATTTTTTGACATATATCCTCAAACTGCGAAATATTCTTAACTCAAGCCTCCTCAACTTCCGTCCTTTGTTGCGACCCCCTCCACAACTCATCCGCCATCTTACCAAACTCCTTCCAGAACCTTGCCGCCTTTGGGCGTATAGAGAGGAAGGGGAGGGGTATAGCGCGCGAAACAGTCAAAATCAGAACGTAAAAAAGTTCTATCCGGACCGGGACTCTTCACAATGACCGCCTTCCCCAACAGCTGAACGATCCTCTTCGTTGCGATTTCAACAAAGGACGATGTGCCTTGCAGGGGTATTTCCAATGGCTTTGATGAAAATGGTTGGTTTCAGCTATTACAGAGGGTATTGGGCACTGGCTGAGGGTATTGAAATTTCACTAATTTTCCTAAAGCCCCCAATTTTCGGCCTGTTTCGTCGCTATACTATTATTTCGCCAACCCCACGTGAGTGTAGAGTCCCCGGGTAGATGGACTAACAAAGGTTCGTCGGAGGATCGGGGACGCAACGACCCATCGGCTTTTTTGTATAGTTTTACAAATCATGTCTATCTCTTCTTTTCTAATTTGATCCCCGCGGTTGACTAATTAGTGCAAAACCAGCTTAGACTGATAGCAACGCTAACATGAAGATGGGCATGGCTCCTATGTAGTTTTTCAAAGTGTTGCCTAAATGCGCTTCCTTCCGCCTCTCTGATTCGAAATCGCGACGACATCTCACGGTCTTTACACTCCGGTTTTTGTTACAAGTAAAAGCGTTAAAACTTCTTTGGAAACATCACATTATATTGCCTGAACTGAGTATCAGAACGCCTCGTCACAATAATCGAAACCCAATCCCACTGTGTGCGATTGGTTTACAGCCATCCCCCCAACTGATGTAAAATCTTGAAATAGATCTCTACCCAGTTTACAAGCGTAAACGAGCTGACAGCTGCTATGTTAATAGGACACTTAAAGAGATCAACGCCTGCTCGTTTGCGATCGTAACAGAAACATCCAGTTAAAAACTGCAGCAGTACAAAAAGGCAAAAAAAGGAGAACAAAAAAAAGAGTGTGGATGGGTCATAAACTTACCGAGCAGCCTCATCATGTGCGACACTTGTCATGGCACGCCACCAAGCTGTGAAGTCCATCAGCGATGCACGACGGGGCTAAAATGTATCACTTATAAGACTCTGAGAAACTTCTCTTCAGTAACATCTTCACAAGTTTGTCCACTTGTGGAACTTTTGTTCACAATCTTCCTGAACTACACCCCATATCCCGGAGATGAGGAGGGCGTGGCCGCTTTCTCGAACTGAACCTGGAGGATTACGCGTTCCACTTGGAATACTCCATTTGAGCTGATCACCACCTTATCGTTTGCTGGACAAAGACATGATAACAATTGTCTCAAGAAGGAAAGGGTAATACAAGAAGAAAAACTGGCGCCACATTCAAAAGAAGTACGCAGCCACGCCCTTTCCAGTTCTCCGAGATATGGAGTGCACCTTCAGTCTATAGTCAAGTTGGCTCAAGCAACAGTATGCGCATAACGACATGTAGCACAAATTCCAAGTACTGTAACCCAGCTGAATGATAGTTCAGTTCGGTAAGAAGATGCGTTCCTGCCATGCAGTGTCAATTATTAAGATTAGCAGGAGGTTCCCCAATCAGTCGGTAACGTAGGAAGGGCCGTAGTGCAAAGGTTTTTTTCCTTGCATTCTCGAGCGCTTCTGGAACCTCTTTGAAACTGACACAAACTCGGAGTCAGCTTCAATTCCATCTGGTGTCGTTCAACACCCAAGTCGCGGCGTGGGCGGTGAAAGATGCGTTGGAGAACGCGCCAGTTGCTCTGCACTCGCACTAGGACCGAACTGATGCTGTTGCCGAGTGCGGAGGGAAAGGGGCACTCTCCACTAAATTTGCAAAATCAACTGTTGAAAAAAGGGGTCATATTCTAGTTTTGCAGCGGAAAAATCAACAACCGCAAAGTTTCCCTCACGGTCGGGAAAGTTTCTCTCAAGACCACTCACGACTCTGTTCTCAGCGACCAAGTGCGACACCACAAATGTGATTCTGCCAACAATGCTGCAACATGTGTCAAGACAACTAACCGGGACATATCTGCAACTTTGCGCACGATCCCAGTGTTCAAGACGGGGGGGGGGTCTTGAACTGCACTCTGGTTAGGACTCCAATTAGGACGTTTGCAGTGAACCTAGCAGCAAATAAAGCCACCCTTCGAGTTCCTGTAGGGAACTGTGCTAGGCCAATTCATAAGAGAATCAATCATGTGAGGTGTCTCATCGGCCTTCGTCGGCGACATTCGGCGGACGAGTTCTTCCCATATAGGATGGACTAAGCGGCGAGCAAACTTCCCTGCGCATGGTAGCACTGCTTACCTGCACTAGTAGTATTAAGGGTACATATGTTGGAACATGAAAACGTAGTGGTGGTAATCTGTCAAGCCGGCTATCAGAGCAAATGCTCATAATTTCAAAAAACGCAATACGAAATCTCCACCTCTCCGCTTGGTCAGGCTGACATAAAATATCGGAATGCTTTCCAATACGTGGGAGCACTTGGCCGCCTCGCATAAGCCGTGGCATCTCAAGCAAGGAACATCTGAAAAAATTCTTCTTGGAAAAAAAAAGTAGTTTCGCACTAGCAGGCTTACTTCAATGATTGGAAAATCTCTTTTCTTTTTGTATTATTGTGACTTACTAAGACTCGCGCACCAGATAACGGAGTCATTCCAAAGCTATGCGGAAGTCAGCACGTTCGTATCTCGGACCCGGTTGATCGCTCTTTAACTTTCGCTTATACTTTGCGTCCGACTTTGGCAGCTTTCCCGTAGCACCACGTCGCCCCTCCCCGTAAGTTAAAACGGTTTGCGTAAGAGAGATAGGACGGTACTCACCAAGCAAACCAGAGTAAAATAGCGTGTTCATTATGGAGTCCTGACGTGAAAAAAGGGCGTATCACCCGAGTAAACCAAGCTACACTTTCGAGTCGGACCCTTGATACCGGCTGAAGCGCCCCCAACCTAATGCATACATAGATAGTGCAAAAAAAGGCAGGAATCAGCAAGAAGGCAAAGCTGGGTCTAAATGACCTGCGATTATGCACCTATCTGCGCTCCATTTTTTTTCGCGAAATTGGAAGCTTTTTCAGGCCTGACCTACGGTACCAGCATAGCTGGCGGTTGTGACCACGCCGCCGGCTGTGTGAATAGAAATAACGTGGCGTACGCTAAGGGATTACCTCTACGGGCGCAGTCGGCTTGGTGTGGGCACGGAGACCGTAGTTTTACACGTCTCACTCAAAGTTAACAGGAGCCAAACAACGCTCCTTTACGGTACAAATAACCGACTGCAGCATATTTCTACGACCTGCATTCGATGCCCCTACACTCGAAGTAGATAATCACCACCGCTTGGTCCATAAAACTGACTTGTTTCAACCGTCTCCCAAAAACGAGCTTCTGAAACTCACGGGCGCCGAATTGGCCTTCCATAGGGAACCCTTTTTTGGAACCAAAGTGGGTATTTGCTGCTTCATCAGCCGTATGATCAGAAGCTGATTCATGAGGCGTCAAAAGAAAAGCGTGCCTGCGACAGACCGGTCGCGACTGATTCAGTCAGTATCATTTTTGCGCCTGAAATCAAAGCACAATCGCTAGTCATTGCGGGGATTCATAAAGCGACATATGCTGCACAACTCAAGCGCTGTGTACAATCATCTATCAAAACCACAGATTTCAGTGCCCTACTGAACTATATGATCAGATTTATAGCACAGCTCCGATTCTCATACCAGTAATTGCTTTACTACACAACCAAAACGTCGTATGGAGCGGCGCGGCGCTTCCGCTGCGATCATTCTCGGATAAGCGAGGAGGAAAGCTTTTACGTTAACGCCTCCTTGTTGGTTACCACACTAGCAATATGTTTATCCATGAAGGGCGCAGTTTGTCGACGAGAGGGCATTTTGCTTTCCATAGATGTGTCGACCCATATAGGTAGCCGTTTCTCGAGTTGACACTTTTCAGCATAGTGGCTAGACAATCTTACATCAGCTTCACAAGAGTTCACAAGTTTTACCAAAGTGAGCTTTGTAAATCGGAACTAGGGAAGCAATGATAATACAAAATGCCCCCCCCCCGTCGACAAACAGCGCCTCCATGATGTATTAACTGCTAACGGAAAGCAAAATACACGCCACCTGTTCATTGGGGAAATCGCGAAATACGCGACATACTCGACGCAATGCCGCATCGTTCTCCACTATTGACACCGGTACGCCTTGAGGAAAGTGAAACCTGAAATGAAGCAGTTTAAAAAATCGAAATGGGTCAAAGTAAAGGATAGTGTTAGCCGGTGATCAATCTTTTTGGCATGCGACAAGCATTCGACTTTCAATTAAAATCGTAGTGGCTTACTGAATGCGAGCTGGCCTGTACAATGACGCGCGGGAGCCAGCTAATGTACATGTCAGTGTTCTTATCCTCGCAACCGAGTCCGGTGCCAATTCAACGCCCTCAAGGGTAAAACGCTTGGTTGGCTTAGGCGGGAGTCGATCCGGGATTAGATCCCCAGCTCGGTGCCACTTGCCACCACACTACTTCCGCCTCAGAAGAGGTTAAAGTCTCTGTAACAAGCTGGAAGGTTGAGGAATAAGCAGGGGGCAGGGCATATCAAGGTGGCGGGAAAAGTTGGTTGCCTGGCGCAACCCCTCCTTTCCTGCCACCCCACCACTTCAATTTCGAAAATCAAACTTCATTTGTATCTTTACCTCAGACATTCTAGAGAAATTTCTCGGGCGGGTTAACTGGGCGCGACAAGGTATAGGTAGGTACTTTTTCCAGCTTCCGCAATAGTGCAGATCTTCTCAGCAAACCTAGTACGACACCTTGCCAGCGACTTCCGCGACCTCTTCGCTGAGCCTCAAGGATAAGCTGACTTAGGTTGAGGTCATCAGTAGGAAATCTAGTGGCCTGATGAAGTTTAGAATAGCCCTCCTTGTTCTCGTACCCTTACTACAGGTACTGCTTCCACTCCTCTAAGCTGTTAGCGAAATCTCTGTACTGCTAGTCATAAATAGGTCCTGACCGATGGAACTTAACACCTAACTGGGCACGGTTCAGAGTACGATGTGAGCTCCCACAGTGTGTCTAAAGCAGTGGAGCTTCTAGAGTCATGCGGCCCTTACACTATATGTAACTGATTTGACGCTAAAATGTTACAGTAAGCCGAGACAACTAGCCAGCTAATGTAGAGCGCGTCGAATGAGCTTTTTCACGCCGCAGCATTCGGATGTCATGACTGTGTGTAGGACACCACGTCTTCCGCAGCCTTGATTGGCAATTTACTGCCTGGCCTTTTTAGCCCTAGCTCTTGAAAATGGTTTGACCCGTGCCGTAGCCCCATCATGTCGACCTGGAGAGGTAGAACTGCGATTTGTGTGGGTGTGTTTACGCTTTTCCCTACCCCTCCCCCACTTTCTCATCGTAAATCAATTTTTAAAAACATTCAGCTTGGTGTCACAAGATTAATTACTGAATATAAAAGTGCAGTGAAGTTACAGGACGCCTGGACGTTGAGCGCTGACGACACTCTATATTAGAAATACCTAGCCGTTTCAGGAACGCCACAAAAGAAACATGGACACACTAACCGTGGGTAAATGATTGATGGTGCTTTCCGTGGATGGGTGATAAATGTCGTTCCTACGGTGTCAAGGCTTTTATCGTGAAGTCTGAAATTTTAATATCAATAACAATTCAGTTCCGGTTTGATTTTTTTTATAAAGAGCTCCTAATTCAAATTGATTAAGCGTTCCGCTTAGCAAATTAGCGTTACGATTCCACTGATGTTGGGCACAGTTAATGTCGGGTCACACTCCCACAATGCACCAAAAATTCAGTCAAAGAAAAAGTTTGTTGATGGTGATTTATGCAACTGCATTGATCGATCTACTTAGCAGTAATAGTGGCAATACACCAACAATTTCAGCTCTTCTGAATCAGCACTGTTACCTTACTACTGAGTTATGCATTCATTCAGCCTACTACGCTGCCATTACTGAAGACCCAGAAAAACCCAGAGTGAGCCAGGATGACGACATTACAATAGTAAACAAACCAGTAACGACATAATGCATGATAAACTTACATTGACACACTCTCTTCCAGATTCTTGGTGCCATGGGTGGCATTTAGCGAACCGTCTGATGTTCCAGAGGAGGAGTCCAAATCCGGCTGTTTCTAAACAATCTATTTTATCAAAATCGATTAATCGTAGGTCAAAACCAACTCACCCTTGCGTCATTGATGGAAAGATTGCCGATCTTTGCATGACCATTAACTCTGCAATTACCACCATTAAAATTGCCCAAAAACTCTAGGCATTGGTCCCGCATCATGGCAATATGTAGCTACCTTTTCTGGCTTTTTTCCAAAAGTCCGTCTACCGGTTTCAGGCATTGGCGTGACAAACACACTCAAAGTAAATACTTTCGGAAAGGCAATTCCTATTTTGACAGTGACAGCATCGAGTTTACGATTGTTTTCGCCCTGACAGGTAAACAATAACGCGCTATGTTACAAGCGCGACATCATGGAACGCCCAAACATGAAATTGCCCCAACAACTATCCAAATAGCTAATTCAAGCCCCACTCTAAGTTACATTTTGCCGTACCTTGGTGGGGGTAACGCAAGCCTTGCAGTACATTCTGGCGTATAGTCAGGAAAGCGTAAGTAATAAGTATAGGAGCAGCACAACATATGTAGGTATTCAAGTCAGTAAATCAGCGGGTAGAAAGTCGTGCCACTCGTGCATGTTATGCCGTAGTAACCTGTCAACGCTGATTGATATCCCCCTCATGTCCGAAAATCGCGGGTAGGCGGATGAGTCAAAAGTTGTTTCATGAGAATAATACATGCGAGCTAATGCATGTTGTCTCGACGTCCAGATCTCGTTCTTGAAACCTGTCCTGCACGCATCATATTCCGCGTCAGCTACGCTATCAACTGCTGTACATAATTTTTCAATACTTGAAAGCTTTTCAGCATCCTGCAGCTGTTTTCTTTTGAGTGACTTTTGCCCATATCTCAGCATTCTTGTGATTCTTTGAAGGGTTCGGCCAAAGTTTGTCACCAAGGCACAGCGTGGTTGAGGATCCTTAGCGAGGGGGATGGGTGAGGGGGGGGGGGATGTCATGATGTTGTTCACGAACTGCTTTCTTCGGTTTTCGTGTTCCTCCGTGCTCTCTCGGTCTCTCTGACTCTCTCTCGTCGCTCTCCTCTCATCTTCTCTGCTCTCTCTGTTTTATCTCCTCAGAAGCAGCTTTCTCGTGGGGAAAAAACTGAAGAACTTCGCGGAAAAACTTCGCAAAGCGGTAGGAAGATGGTAGGTAGGATGTGAATGGGGAAGGAAGTAGTGCTAGAGGATAAATTTTGTTTGGGGGGAGTAGTACTTTGGCAGATATTCCCCCCTCTCCCCCTCAAACGACAGGAGCTGTACTCATTTTCATTCCATTCATTTTTTGCTCGCTCGATCATTTATGCCTTAGGCAGCGTTCACACTTGTAGCGCTACAGCGCTCCGCTTCAGCGTCGCGACTACAGCGTCCGCGCTATCAGGCGTCGCGCTCTCGCGTCGCGCTGAACAGCGTCGAGCGCTACAGCGGTCGCGCTACAGGCGTCGCGCTACTGCGTCGCGCTACAGCGTAGCGCTAGCAGGCGTCGCGGCTAAACAGGCGTAGCGCTGGTAGCAACTGAGTTCGGTACAGGACTGTACGGGCAACAGTTGTAGCCGAACATCGCAGCTTTTATGTTTTTCTTTTCTATATCATCCTCTTCTCTTTGTTTCTAATATTTATCTTTGATAGTGAGCTCCTGTTTCTACCTTTATCAAAGATTAGTCTTTGATCACAGGAAGACTGTGGTAATTGTTTTATTTTATCGTTTCTGACTTTATTATTTGGTTTCACAGCTTGCTTGACTGTTTGACGGCTTTTGCTTTGATTCTTGCAGTGCTTGCGTCGTTTTGATCCCGATTGCGAAACGAACATAAAAATGATGATATAAGTAGAAAAGCACGAAGGCTCATATTAGATGAATATTAACGAAACAAAGAGAAGAAGGATTGAATACAGAATAGAAATGATACGGATCCAATGCCGCTTATCGATTATGGGGGCGGAAATTCTGCTTTTTAGAGTTTGCGCCCAATTCTCTGCCTGGATCAGCAGGAAAAAGATTATGCCGGTTTTCCTCCCCGAGGGCAATTCCCAGCCAACAAAGCCTGTACAATTTCTTGTAGCTTTTTTTTGGGGCCTAGGAGAGTATGCAATATTGAGTCGCATTTGTCGGCAGGCAGAAAAAAATGGCCATCATCTCCCACAACAGGCACGCCAAAGACTGTCTGATCACCAACTGCGTCCCTATGCAACAATGGCAATCAAGAAGTTCCTGTCATGGTTCTTGGTGTCCCCGGTAAAAAAACATGCAGTGCGTGTTTTAGGTGGCGCGAGTCTCTTTGGGTGTTTTTTGCAGAAAAGCAGTTTTGGCAGTTTTTTGCTCCTTAATCGGAGACAAAGACACTGTTACGCTAAAAGCAGTAACGCAGAACAAATAGTAGCTGACTAATGGATAAGCTGTCAAGGACGGTCAGATAGCTTACAGCTGTCGTCAGTCTCACCTTTCCGTGAATATTGTCTCAGAATACTCCAAACAACCTTCCTCCTTTTCTCTGTAAGCAAACTCTAATGCAATCCTAAACGTTGGAACTTGGCAGTACGTTGGCGAAGGCAAGCGCCGATAGCGCTACGCGGTAAGCGCTACGCTGTAGCGCGACGGCAAGTAGCGCGACGCTGTAGGCGCGACGCTGTAAGGCGCGACGCAGTAGCGCGACGCTGTAGCGCGACGCCCTGTAAGCGCGAAGCGCTGTTAGCGCGGACGCAGGTGGCGCGACGCTGTGCGGCTAACAAGTTGTGAACGTGCTTAAACA